GGGGGGGGGGGGGAGAAGCAGCATTGGATAGAACCCCACTGACTTCAGTGGGAGGTGTAGAAATTCAATATTTTCTGAAATGAGCACTGGGCAAAAGCTAATATTCAAGATTGATTCGCATCTTGTCTTCAGATATATAAGGTGGGGTAAGATGTGCTGGGTATATTTTTTACCAGTAAACCTGTAAATTGAGCCTGTGCTGTTAAGCGCATACGTTTCCTGTTCAAACTTTTAATAGAGCCTTTAATGGAGTCCCCCTGTGAAGAATCGAAATATCTCATTTTCCTCCCACTTGTTCTGTTCTCTGCTGATCACAAATCTCCAAGCACCAAGATATCATTTTTTAATGTTCCAAAAAAATCAAATCGTCTTTCTTTCTTAATGAGTTTGTGTTTTGGGAGATGTCAGCTTAATCCGATATTTCCTGAGAATGTATTTTCTTCTTACCAGATTGGTTTTTTAAAAAAAACTTGGTTTAAGTTGCTCTCCATGGTATTATGGCAGAAAATGGAGAAAATATTTTAAATAAATATTTAAACATTATTTAACCATCAAAGCTCAATAATAAAAGTTTTAAAACTTTGTCACTCAAAATATAAAGTAGTAAGCAGTTGCAACTTCATCTGCCACATGCATCCTACTTACTAGTGTTGATTGTTTCACTAATTAGGAGCATCTGATGTATCATTAGCCCACTGCCCTCCTACTTCTTGCCTGAAAATAGATTTTATACCAGTGTAGACTCCCAGCCAGTGTTATTAGCAATAGTATAATGAGAATTTAAGTCCAGAGGACAGGAACTAGCAGTGAAAATACTGCAGATGCCACAAGGGTACACTGGTGAGCAGGGAGCGGGAATTCTTAACTCTTTATGTGAATTCTTTGCAGGGACATTGTATTGATATTTTGAATGCAGTGAAATAAAGCATAAAAGAGAAATAGATTATGAATGAAGAAAAAATAACTGGCAGGATTGTTTGTGAAAACGAGACATGAAAGTAATGGGACAACTGCCAACAAACCATGATTTGTTGTAATGTAGATGAGTTCAGGTGTTTCAAACTGCAGGATAGCTCAGTGATTTAGGCATGGGAATTTGATTCCTCACTATGCCTCCTTGATAAGGTCTGGACTCGATGATCCCAAGAGTCCCTTCCGGCTCTGCAGTTCTAAGATTAAGATTCTAAAATCAAGATTTCCCCCCTGCCCTTCTTCCTCTTGCATGGCCAGCTCCAGAGAACCCTGCTTCTTCTTCATGGTCTCTGTGAATTCACACTAATGGGTTAATCTGCGCTTGCGTGGAGCAACCTCAGAACTTTCTAACTTGAGCACATGGTACTGGGACCTCCCCACACATTGGCTATAACTTTTACCCCCCCCCCCGGCACTGAGTGCCTCAGTTCTTTTTCGACTGCTGCTGTTGCAGCTTCATTTGGAATTTCGTGTGCTCAATCAATCAGTCAGTCTTACGTTTCCCTCTCTTCCTTGGACCTCCCTGGCTTGATTCCAGACCGTTGACCTTGCTTTGCAGCTGAGTTACCTGCAAAAAGAGAAAGAAATTGATTAATTGTCGTGTTGCTTACTTTGAGTTTATGGCCTCGCCGGGCCTCTTCAAGAGGTGCGAAGTCTGCTCAGACTAAATTTCCCTCCCCTATGGACATTCCCATTGTTTATTTTGCCTTGGGGAAGAACATCAGGCAGCCGTGTGCACCTTTTAGAAAAACTTTACAAAGCCGGCTATGAAGTTGAGGTTCCAATGCCTTAAATCATTTCTTTGGGTGAAATCCCTTTCACCACCTCAAACTGCCTCTATGGATTCCCCAAAATCTTTGCAACCGTCTCTGGCAGCTTCACCTGAGGTTGCAGCCCAGAAGGCATTGAAAATGGCGGCCAAACCAAAATCGTCCTCGAGGTTGACAGCCGCAGCGTCAACACTGTTGCAATCTTTGACATCAAGTTTGAAGAAGAAGAAAGCCCCTAAGCCTGCTGAAGCTGTAGAAGTCTCAATACCGAGGCCGGAGATATCCCAGCGACATTGGGCAAGCCCCAGTGTACCCTCGGGGGAAGAGGATGTATCCTTGCAGCTGCTGCTGCCATCCCCTTCTGTCAGTGATATTCCTGACTGGCATAACACCTCTCTGGAGGTTGTTGAATTGGCACAGGCCAGCCCGCGTTCTTTGTTGGGCTCATTGACACAGCAGCCTGCAGCCTCGCCTCCGCCACCGGCTCTGACTGAGGTTCCTCATAAGAGAACCCATAAATCCCGACACCTGGAGCCTCCTGAGCAACCGGACCCATATAGCCGGCAGTCGATCCGAGGGGGTACCCTGCTCGTTGAGGCCAATGGCATTACCTTGACTACCCGCCGGCGTACAGGGTGGAGGACTTTGAATGGGGCCTGCCTTTTCATCCAGGACCCTATCGATATGACCCTTACCCTTGGTATTGACACCTCGAACCCTATTCTCAGCCCTTCTTCACGGCTCTGCCTCAGTGGTGCGAAATTGCACCCGAGGCTTAAGAAGGCTGTATTCCTCCGCCTCCTTCTCAACCTCACAGGCACCTGCTGCTGATCTCTGCTACCATTCGAGGTGCCAAGCATTCTCAGCTGGCCTCTGACCCAAAGGTGGGCCATGCAGGCTATACTTACCCTGCAGCCGGACCCGAGGCAAGCTTGGCTCGAGCCCGAGCTGGAGAAGACTTGTCCCCAGCTCCACTAGAGGAGGCACCTTATTCCCCTTCTAACGATCGGGACTCTGATTCACAGGTGTCAGAGGGAGAGGAGGACTCACTAGCTAATATTCCTACTCCTGTGTCGGACATGGCAGACAACCATCCTCCGTTGCCATTAGAGGATTACTCCTCCTACTCCCACCTCATACACCGAATAGCGAAGGTCCTGGAGCTTGATGTTGAGGTGCCTGCAGTTAAGAAAACAGATAAGGTTTATGAAGACATGACTCAGGAACAGACTCCTCCAGTACGCCTCGGATTCATCCTGTCCCTCTCTGAACTCATGAGAGAGTCATGGCTTAAACCTTCCACTTCCTATCAGATTCCGAGGAGGATCGAGGATCTGTATAAAGTGTATGGGGCTGATACGGATTGCCTCTTAAAGCACCCTCTTCCAAATTCCTTTGTTGTTGACAGCACACAAAACAGGGCCTGGAATCGTTCTGCTACTTCTCCTTCTGACAAAGAAGGATGCAAATTGGATGTCCTAGGCTGCAGGATGTACTCTCTAACCTCTTTTGTCCTCAGGGTGGCCAACTATTCTGCTGCCATGGGCGCTTCCCACCGCCATTTGTGGAATTTGGCCCTGCCTATTCTGGAAGCGGCTCCTGAGGATGTTAGAGCCCAGGACCTGTCATATCATCAGGAGGCCATGGGACTCGCAAGACATGAGCACATGCCACACTTTAGAAGCGGCTTCCAAGCAGTTGGCCACTGCCATCTCTCTACGCTGTCATGCTTGGCTGAACTCTACTGGCATTTGAGAAGATGCCAGGGCATGGATAGAGGACCTGCCATTTGATGGAGCAAGACTTTTCAATGAAAAGACCGATGAAATACTTGACAACCTTCTCAAGCTCCGGAAGACGGCATAGTCCTACTTTGGGCAGCAGCCTGGTCCAAGAGGCGTCTGGAGGCATTCTTACCAACCTAGGGGGTATCAAGATCGTCAGAGGCCCCCAACCTGCACCTCCTAGGCAAGTGGGCAGGCAGCAAAACCACCAGCAAAACCACCGACAAGACTGCAAAAACAAGTGTAACTTCTCTATAGTTAACCCATCAGTCCGTTTGGCCTCTTTTCTGCACTCCTGATATTCCATCATGTCTTATTCTTGGGTGTTATCCATCATAGCCACTGGCAATGGTTCGACAGTCGCCCCATCACAGACCATTTCAAGTCCACCCTCTTTGGAAGGGCCCCCTCTTTGGAAGATGAAATTCAGGCCCTGCTGGAGAAAGATGCTATTATTCCTGATGTTTCCCTAGGTTTCTGTTCAGGGTATTTTACCATCCCCAAGAAGGATGGAGGCCTCCATCCGATTCTTGATCTTCGCAGCCTGAACTCTTTCATTACTCCTCGTAGATTTCATATGGTTTCCCTGGATTCTGTTATCCACATGTTAACGTCACGGGGATTAGTTCATGGTGAGTGGCCTCAAGGATGCTTAATTCCGCATTAGCATCAGGTCAGACCATCGGCGTTTTCTGAAGTTCTCAGTAGGAGGTAGAACCTATGAGTTTAAAGCCCTCCCCTTCAGTTTGTCCACTACATCCAGGGTATTCACGAAGTGTCTAGCTCCGGTGGTGGATCACTTACATCTCTTGGGAGTCACAATTTACCCATATTTGGATGAGTGGCTCCTAATAGCTGAGTCCCAGTCACAAGCTCGTAGACACATGAACTTAACACTTTCCCTCTTGTCAACATTAGGACTGAGAATCAACATAGAGAAGTCCACTTTGCACCCTACCCAATGTTTGAATTATAAAGAAGCTACTTTGAATGCTTCCTTGGTTTGAGCCTTTCTCCCCGAAAATAGAATTTTGAAGATGCAGTCTGTATTATGCTCCTTCTCCTCAGGTGCATGGATCCCTGCCCTCAAGATCCAGCGACTCTTGGGGTTGATGGCATCCACCACAGCTGTGGTGCAACATGCACGGCTGAAGATGTGGTCTCTTCAGGCCTGGTTCCTCTCACTCTTCTCAATGACTCACAACCACCAACTGCTGCAGGTTACGCCAGAGCTTGCTGCGCAGCTCGATTGGTGGAGACTCCTTTCCAATTTGCTGGTATGAAGACCTTTTGGCCTCTTGACTCCTATGGTCCAGGTCACTGCGGATGCCAGCTCGACAGGCTGGGGCACTCATCTCAGCTGCCACACAGTTCGCGGCCACTGGTCTTCAATGGAGGCTGGCCTTCGTATCAACGAGCTGGAGCTCCTGGTGATTGCCAAGGCATTTTGAGCCTTTGAGCCCTTGCTCTATAGTCGTGTAATCCAAGTGGCGTCAGACAATACCACAGCAGTTTGTTTTATAAACAAACAGGGTGGCACTCACTCATTACACCTTCTGTTTCACATCATCGACCTCTGGGAATGGTGCTTTGTCTTGTCTGGCACATATACCCAGTGGCTGTGCATGTAGCAGGCAAAGGGAATTCCTTTGCAGACCATCTGAGCAGGCTACAATCCTGCTCCTACGAATGGGCTCTAGATGATGCAACCTTTTGCCACCTCTGCTGCCGATGGGGAACTCCAGAAGTAGATGTTTTTGCATTCCAAGCCAAAAGAAATGTACCAGGTATTGCTCACGAGCCGGCGTCGGCCACCGGTCCTTAAGGGAAGCATTTCTGATGCAATGGTCATCTGGCCTCCTTTACATGTTTCCACCCATTCCTCTTAGCAGTAACCTCAGCACAGAGGGCTGGAGAACTAGCTGCGTTAAAGGCAAGACCCTCCATTCCTGCAGTTTCCCCAGACAAGGTGGCTCTGCATCCAGACCTTACCTTTCTCCCCAGGGTTTCATGATCTTTCCACTTGAATCAACCAATTGTTCTTTCTACTTCCTTTTCCTCACCATTTGAAAAGGCTCTGCACTCCCTTGATGTCAAACGAGCTCTCTCATATTATATTCACTGCGCAGCCACTTTCCATACAGCACAACAACTCCTTGTCACCTTTGCTGGCCCTCTATAGGAGCTGGCCCTCTATAGGAGCTTCCTATCGAGATGATTGTCCAGACCATCTGCTTTGCCTATGATTTAGCCAAGATTCCTCTTCCAGGCCCAGTCAGAACTCTACAAGAGCTGTATCGTCTTCAATGGCCTTTCTCTGCGGGGTAGGCATTGCAGGCATCTGCCGAGCTGCCACAAGGGCCACTCCATCTACCTTTGTCTCCTGTTACCACCTAGATATCTGGGCCAAGGCTGACACTGCAGTGGGTTGAGCTGTCCTGGCTTCTGCACTTTTGTGATGTCCCTCCTCCGGGGAAGTGTGTTTGCTAGTCACCCATTAGTGTGCATTCACAGAGACCATGAAGAAGAAAAAGAGGTTACCTACCTGTAACTCTGGTTCTTTGAATGGTCATCTGTGAATTCACACTCCCCTCCCTTCCTTCCCACTGTCTGTCACATGTGCCATTGCATGCTGGCCAGCAGCGGTTGGTTCCATGGAACTGAGGCAGTCTGTACCGGAGGCTGAGTTATAGCTAGCATGGGGGAAGTCCCGGCACCATGTGCTCAAGCTAGAAAGTTCCAAGGCTGCTCCACACAAGGGCAGATTAACCCATTAGCGTGAACTCACAGATGACCACTCAAAGAACTAGAGTTACAGGTAGGTAACCTTTTTTTCTTCAAGCCAAGAAATCATGATGTTATTTTGGCTTGCAATGCTGGTTAGCAGTGATTGTTTCTTTGCTCGGATTTCACTGGCAATTTTGGTTAAGAATTTGGTATAAGTCTTATCTGCTTGGAGTGCAAAAACTAGAAGAAAACAGGGAGAGAATGGACCTTTTGCATTCACAATTTGTTTACACTGCAGCAAAGAGTGAATTATTATAGTGGCCCTACTAAATCTGATCTGTATGGAATCCTGATAGGTGTTGATTGGGGTTGGAAAAGTTGAACCTGACATTCTTCTTATTTATCATAAGCAATAATGTCTTTGTTTTAAGAATGATGATGCTGAAAATGATGAAGCTGATGATATGCCAGAGATTCAAGAGACAGTGCAAGTCGTACCTGGCAGTAAGCTACTGTGGAGGATAAGTGCCAGACCACCAAATTCATCTCAGGTAAATTGCTCAGGACTTGGTATGTTAGGGACAGGGTTGCATTAATGGAACAGGATTTAAAAGATACAGTGGGGTCTTGACTTGAGAACTTAATCCGTATTGGAAGGTGGTTCTCAAGTCAAAAAGTCTGTAGATCAAGTCTCCATTGACCTACAGTGCATTGAAAACCGATTAATCCCGTAACAGGCCGTTTTTGTTCCATTTTGGTTTTTTTCTGGTCTGTAAGTCAAATCTCAGTCTGCAAGTCAAACCTAAATTTTGCGGCCAGAGAAGTCTGTAACTCAAAAAGTCTGTAAGTCAAGCCGTCTGTAAGTCAAGGGTCCACTGTACACAAATATGAAGAGACATTAGAAAATAACTGTGATGCTGTTTTAAAATGAAGTGTGTGGGTTAGGGTTTAACTTCTCTTGACTGCAACATTTTAAATTGATGAAGAGCCGGAGGACATGCAATCCATTAGGAGAGCCACAGAGGCCCATTCTTGCCCTAAGGAGCTGGGAATCACTGAGCAAAAGGAGACTCACCTTCAAACTGCAATTAATAGATTTGCCCTATAATTTTCTCCACATATCTCTACTGTTTTAATTTAAAATAATCAAAACTCAAAACATCATGATAAACAACTGACAGTCTTGTTGATCAATCATGCCTCTGTAAATTGCAGTGGCTTGTGATAAATGTATCTTGCTATTGCTAGCTGAGGTGAACTGTTTTTAGTAGCTATCAGCAAAGATGGACTGTAAAGACAACATGTGGATCAATCCATCTGAATATTCTGTTTAGCCGTCTGCATTGTCTCCTCAGTTGCCTGATTGTAATAAGGGTTAGTGATAGCATGGCTGAAGTTACAGAAATAATATAAATTCTGCTGTTGTCAATTTGGTTATTAGTCATCAGGTTTTGTGAAGTGTCATTGTGAAAAGCTTCTTCATTTACACAACAATGCTGTGGCTGTAGCAGACAGGCAAATAATGTATCAGAGAATGTATCATGCTATTAAGAATACTTAATAGCAACTAGTGGTGTTGATTTCTATACTTAAGAGTGTCTCTTAGTTTCTTCTCAAATCTTTCATGTGAGGCAGTGGTTATTAAAGATTCATTGTACAACAGACTTTTTTTCCTGCAGTACAGAGACTGGTCATTTATGTTGTTCCCATTATTGGGCCATCCTACTGTCTGCTTTTGAAAGGGATTTTTTATATCTTTGTATAAATATCATATTTCTTTTCTCATTGTAGCTTGATAGTGTAGTCTCTGGTAAGAGAGCCATATCAAGTTCTGTTGGCTGTATTTAGCAAAATACTTCCTAGTGATGGCTTCAAGATTCCTCAAGCTGTTAAAATACACTGGTGCCCATGTTAAGATTTCTTCAGGTTGTCTGGGTCACATGGAGTTGTGGAAGCTTCAGTGTAACTCTTCACTATCCACTCTTAAGTTATAGGCACAATCTGAGTTGTGGGATTTTGTGGTAAGGTATTATCCTTAGATAATAGGTTTGAATCTCATTCTTATCAGATGATGTTGATAGGTGGGAAGAAACATCAATAATGTAAGATATGCAGATGATACTGTAGTCCTGGCAGAAAGCAGTCAAATTGCTTACAATTTATGGCAATCCTATGAGTTAGTGACCTAGAAAAGGTCCTGTCATTAACTTTTCTGCTCAGGTCTTGCAAATTCATGTCTGTGGCTTCTCTATTGAGTCAGTCCATCTCATATTCAGCCTTCCTCTGTTCCTGCTCCCTTAAATCTTCTCTAGCATTATTGTCTATTCTGTGATGTGCTCAAAGTATGATAGCCACAGGTATAGTCCTTGATTTTATCTAGCATACATTCACTTGTCTTTCAGGTGTCTATAAAGATCTCCTTTAACACCACATTTTGAATGAACTGGACTTTTTTCCCCTGTCAGCTTTCTTCATTGTCCAGCTTTCACATCCACAAGTAGTTTTTTGGAATAATACCATTATATAACATTGGCCTTGGTCTCTAGGGATGTATCCTGACTCATAAGGATTTCTTCTGGCTCTTTCATAGCTGCTCTTCCAAGGCTCAGTCTTCTTCTGTTTCTTTTGCTCTCATTGGATTGATGATTGAACTGAGGTGTAGCAAATCTTGTGTAATTAGTTCAATGTCTTCTTTGTCAGCATTAAAGTTGAACGACTTTTCTGTACATAAACCAAGGAAGAAAATCTTAATAATGCTGATGATTAGTTTCCTCCCTCCCTTTTTATTATTATTTCATGGAGCACAATGTCTTTTCACCAGTACTACTTTAAGAGCCTTAGGGCCTAAAAATAAATGTCATGCCACATTAAAATCCTAAATTTATTTTAGTTTTTTTCATAAAGAATAAATAATAATCCAAAAACATAATACTTACCAACTCACCAAAATACAAACCCTGAGGAACAAAAGAGAGTTGAAGGCCACACTTTGAGAAGAGATGCTACTGCTACTATCATAAACAAGAGCTTCAGGAAGTGTCTATAACGGAAGGTCCCCCCATTCTTGAAATCTCAAAAAACAGACCCAGAGAGTATCTCCAAAGTAAAATTCAGTGTTAGGTGTTTACAGTTCATTGAAGGAAGGAATTAAGCAAACTCTTTCTGCCCTTTCAGAGCTGAAGTTTTTCACCTAAAAATCTGGTCCACTTCTTTTTTCAGAAAGACTCTGTTTTTGCTATTATATCCTGTTTGCCTGAAAAAAGACCTAACCTGTAAATAAGCCCTAGTATGATTTTTCAGGATGCTCATAATATAAGCTCTACCCCCAAAATAAGCCCCAGTGAAGTAAAAACCCACCCTCCACCCTTGTGTAGCAACCAGAAGATGGCATTACTGTATTTGAATAAATCTAGATTGTTATACAAGACAAAAAGAAAACATCCCCTGAAAATAAGCCCTAATGCTTTTTTTGGAGCAAAAAATAATATAAGATCCTGTCTTATTTTCGGGGAAACATGGTATACCCACCATTACTGTTTATGCACTTTTGGAAACACTTGCTATTTTGTTTTGTCATGTTTGTTTTGGTCTTAACTATAATCCTGTTTTTGTACTTTCTTTTTTGGCCTTTCTCACTAGCTTAAATTCATTGCTGTTTTCTGCCATACCTCTTTCAGATAAGATTTTGAAATTCCACAGGTTGATCAGTATAACCGCAATAGTACTCCAAGGAAAATGGGCTTCCAATTCAGTACTCACTAATGGCATCAACAGTATACTACAACCGCCAAATGCCCTATTCTTTAATACGTTTGCATTGAACTCTTGTTGCTGGACAAACACTTGTAATGTTTTGGGGCAGTCCGCATCTTCAGCTTGCAGGCTGAAAGAGCATCTCCTTTTGCTGTAGTCTGTTTCTTGAATGATGGACATGTCCTTCTAGCTGAGAAGTAATTTGTGAAAGAGAGGAGCCATTTCATTTTGCTCCTGTCCTGCCTCTGCAGATCATGGTCTGTGTTTTGCTAGTGTCTTATTGCCTTGTCATTTCTGTATAGACTTGTGCTTAAATTCTATCTCAAAGGTGTTCTTTTATTTATTGGCAAATTCAGTGTTCAGCCAGTTCATATAGGTCTGAAACAAATGACTCAGTGATTTCTGCAGGCAGCGTAGCTCTTTCGTAAAAACAGGCTCTTTTCAAAATGGAATGCATTTTTCTGAATTTAGTATATCAGCTTTGGTGAAATTGTTTCAGTCATGCTTTCAGCACGGAGAAATGATGCATAAATGTTGATGGTTTCTTTGCCTACAGTATATACTAGTGAACTTGAACAATTGATTTCTCCCCTTTATACACCTTTATGACTATGTGAAAGCAAGTTAACTTCCTTATGTTCAGACTGAAGCACAATGTTATTAATACTGAAGACTTCTGATACTGGAAATGCTGCCTTTTTTTGTCTGTATATTTCATTTAGAAATAGATAGATAGATTTGACATAAGACATAAGACATAAGAAATTTATTTGTCATTGCGCTCACAAGTGGGTGCAACGAAATGAGGTGCTCTTCCCCAAGGTAAAACTGGACAACACTACAAAAAAAAGTTAAAATATACACAACTTTCACCATCCAAATATAGATACCCCGTTTTCTCTCAGCAATTAAAATTGATTAAAATAAAATCAATTTGATTGATTGATTGATTGATTGATTGATTGATTGATTGATTGATTGATTGATTGATTGATTGATTTCATTCAAAGTGAAATTGGTTATGGTGAGCTTAAGATTTGACTGGATACTTTCCCTTTGAATTTCTTTCCATGAAGCAGAATGGCATGACGGTGGACATGGCGTGAAAAGTTTCTAGAACAAAAGGGTATATAATGCCCTTTCCCTTTCTTATGGAGCGAAAAATACGGTAATGCCCTTTCCCTCGGCACCACTTTTTGTAATTCAACTGTTGTAAGCTGCTTTGGGTCTGTTGAGGAGTAACATGGGGTAAAAATTAATTAACTAAGTAAGTAATTAATTAAAGAAGTAATGATTGAATTGCTTCTTTAATTAATTAATTATTTTTTAGCAGCCCCACAATCTGCTTTAAGGATTACACAATCAGCTTTAATTAATTACATTAATTCTGCTCCTTAAAGCAGCTGTGTGGGGCTGCTAAGGAATAGAAAAGCACGCTCTGGTTAGTCAGTGTGTATATCTACACTGTTATTAAAATCTTTACAGTCAACCTGAGATACCTCTTACACAAGAGGCAAGGAAACTGCACTCTCTAAGCCTTGTACAAATGGGTAATGCCACAGTAATTGTTACTGTAAGCTAACCATGTTGTCATATTTTTGTTTTTACCTAAGATGTACAATTTCACTAGTTTTGCTGTTACTCTCAACGAACTAGAAAAGGGCATGGAAGAAGGGTTGGCTCCCACGGACTGTCGGCTGCGACCAGACATCCGACACATGGAAAATGGGGAGATAGGTACGTACATGTGAGTGGGTAGAAATATGCAGGTGTCTCTGCGGGGTAGAAATCTTCAGCAATTTTATTCTGCATTTTGTTAATTTAATTTCTTCTCAGGACAGAGTCTGATCCCTTAGGTTTAGGACATGAAAAAGAGGTTTTTTGAAGGATGGAGGATAGAATGGCTTTTTGAAGAAATATCTCCCCCATAGGCTATTTTCCCCATAACATACCTGTTTTTCATATTTTAAATATTAAATAACCACTGTAGTATTAAATATTAGAATAAATAAGCACTTCAATGATATGTTGGCTTAATGTCAGTTGGTTTCAACTGGCTCTGTCTAGGGATTGGTGTGGTTGTTTCTCTCTGATTAGCTCTCCTAGACCTGTCTTTGTAATTTGGAGGCTATGCTGCCATCTTCCATTTTGGTGCAGTTGCTTTGAATGGGCAACTATCAGTGGACCATAGGGATGTCCCTCATCAAGGTTTGTATAAGGCAGATTCCCCATAATGATTGAGTTTGCTTCCCTGGGTAAATTGCTAGAATCGGAGCCTGATTATCTTTCAGTGGCCAAAGTTAATATGGAAGTTTGAAAGGATGGAGATTTATTTAGGATTGTAATCTCGGGATCTATTATTTTTAGATCTGTGTTTGCCTTTATTCTTTTGATTCTGAAGTGTTTAGAACTGACTAAACATCTGGGGAAAAAAGTTGTGCATTATGAATATGTGTTAAGCTTGTTCTGAAAGTGATCTGGACTTTGTTTCTCTACCTTCTGTTCCTTTTGTACTTATTCTCCTTATTTTGTGAAGTAATCAATCCCTATTGAAATGTCTGTTAGATCTGGCTAGCAAAGAAAAAGAAAGACTAGAAGAGAAGCAGAGAGCTGCCCGTAAGGAACGAGCAAAAGATGAAACTGAATGGAAGACAAGGTAACTAACAGGAGTGGGGCATAAGATTGACTGTGTTTACAAGGTGAATGGAGTAGTAGCCAAGTAGCAGGTCAACGTCTGTTCTTACTTGGGTTTTTTAATTGCCATGTTTTGATACTTTCACACAGACATTTGTGCCTTTTAATTAACAGTAGGAAGGAGAGAGCAAATTAGTGTACGTTAAAACGGTCTGAAGCTCAACATTAAAAAGACTAAGATCATGGCCACTGGTCCCATCACCTCCTGGGAAATAGAAGGGAAAGATATGGAGGCAGTGACAGATTTTACTTTCTTGGGCTCCATGATCACTGCAGATGGAGACAGCAGCCATGAAATTAAAAGACGCTTGCTTCTTGGGAGGAAAGCAATGACAAACGTTGACAGCATCCTAAAAAGCAGAGACATCACCTTGCCAACGAAAGTCCGCATAGTCAAAGCTATGGTTTTTCCTGTAGTGATGTATTGAAGTGAGAGCTGGACTATAAAGAAAGCTGACCGCCGAAGAATTGATGCTTTTGAATTGTGGTGTTGGAGGAGGCTCTTGAGAGTCCCCTGGACTGCAAGGAGAACTAACCTATCAATTCTAAAGGAAATCAACCCTGAGTGCTCACTGGAAGGACAGATCCTGAAGCTGAGGCTCCAATACTTTGGCCATCTCATGAGAAGAGAAGACTCCTTGGAAAAGACCTTGATGTTAGGAAAGGGTGAAGGCAAGAGGAGAAGGGGACGACAGAGGATGAGATGGTTGGACAATGTCATCGAAGCTACCAGAATGAATTTGACAGAACTCTGGGAGGCAGTGGAAGATAGGAGGGCCTGGCGTGCTCTGGTCCATGGGGTCACGAAGAGTTGGACACGACTAAACGACGACAAGCAATAATTTAGTAAATGAATGTTTAATTAAACCACTGTGGACAGTGCTAGTTGCCCTGTTGACATAGTGGGCTGTGTTGTACAGGAGGGTGTGGGTCCTCTAGAGCACTGGTTCTTAATCTTGGGTTACTCAGGAGTTTTGGACTGCAACTCCCAGAAGCCTTCACCACCAACCGTGCTGGCTGGGGTTTCTGGGAGTTGCAGTTCAAAAACATCCGAGTAACAAAGGTTAAGAACCACTGCTCTAGAGTTAAGGGAGTGCAATGTCTCAGCGGTAGAACGCATGCTTCTTTGCAAAATATTCCAGGTCTATTCTCCAACATTTATAGGTAAAGATGGGATACACCCATATGATCTCTGGAGTTACTGCCCGTTTGCGCCGAGTGAAAGAGGCCACTAGTTTAATTTTATATCAGGCAGCTTCCTGTGTTTTGATAATATCAAAGTACTTCATGTGCAGGGCCAGTAGTGGTAGCACAGCTGTCATACATAGTGACAGCTTATCATTTTATCACATAGTCCAAACCATGTATCCCTGGACCCCTTCAAGCCCAAAAGATCCATTAAGAAGTGTCTGAAAAAAATTCTGGATTAGTGGTATGGGGCTATAGCACAAGATTCCACGTTCTTTAATTCCCCTTTCAATGTATATCACTATCAGAATTCATTTCTCCAAACCTTTGAAGATTACTACTGTTCTTCTTTACTGCTGTGTCTAACAGCATTTCTTCTTTCCTTTTTCACAGATGGTTTTATCAGGGCACTAATCCATATACTGGGACTGCTGACTGGTTGTATTCTGGAGGATACTTTGATAGAAACTTCTTTGACTGTCCAGATATATACTGAAATCTTGAACCCAGCTGCGTCTTCATCCAGGATCCAGCGATACTCGGCCGTTATCATGACTTGAGAGCACCCCTTTCTTAAGAAATGTTTCAGTGAAAATTGTCAGCCACTGATTAAGGATTTGCCATTTAATTTTGATTGCCAAAATATTTAAGTGCTGCTGTTTGTTTACCTGAAGGAAGAAATGGAGAGTATCATGTTTCAGAGGAAAAGCAGCTTGCATGATTCTATTTGCTGCCCCTGTTTGTCATTCTACATTTTATCTTTGGGCCAGAATTAACATGCTGTGGCCAGTGGGGAGGCAGATCCTTTATAAAATGTGAGATAAGAACCAAATCATTTCTTATATTTCAGTGGTAAAGGATACAATTTATGTATTCTGCGCTTGGAATAAGAATGATGGATCGGTACGACAGAAGCTGGTAGCTATTGGAGAGGTATCTAATGAGAGGCGTAGTGACAGGCATTCTTGTGAGCCTTCTAAATAGTCTATAATTTTAAAAGATTCACAACTGTAGCAGGTAGCATTCGGCTTAACTTTCAAAAGCTTTTACTGTATTTTGGTTCAATCTTTGGCCACTGTGATTATCAGTTAAATGAAGTACTTGTGATACTTTTAAAAAACAGTTATGTTGAGTGTTGGGCATAGCTTCCAGATGTTGATAACTAAACCCCATCTGTATGAAGTTTTCAGAATGTTTTGTTTTTTACACAGAGGAGGCTTTGGAGATACTAGTAGCATCCTGGGTTTTGTGAGTGTATCATGTTAGACACCATGCATTTTTTATTATGGTCAGACACATCTTTGTCTCTAGTACTGCTTTTGGCAGGCTGACTTTATTAAGGATTTCCAGGCTTATTCACAAACATGCACACTCTTCTTTTTTTAGATTTAATATATCTGCAAAAGGTTTATGTTTATTTTAGATTTTTTATTGCATGTTCTGAAGCATTCACCGCATCACAATTGACAGTACATCCTTAAAAAGCAGTTTTCCCCAGTACCCTTTTGTTAAAGCTGAGCAATATAATGGAAATGTTCATTGAATTTCTAGCAGCTATATTTTTCTTCAGAGTTGATTTGTTTTGTTTTTTAATTTAAAAATGTGAAAGCTCTATGCTCCTTGAGTTGAAAGTGTTTTCCTTTTTTATTTCACATTTCTAGAAGAAAAGTGAATATTACTTACATACAATATGTATGGGCTTTAAAACGTTGGGCTGGTAATATTGACTTTTTTTAAAAAAATGTTTCCAGAAATGATTACATTTGTATTTTAGTTTACCAAATCTACTCTGCCTCTAAATTTATAGTGATTCGAAGAGGACACTTAAGTAGTTGTGTATTTGATTATAATCTCTTTATTGTGCGGAGTTATACCAGTGTGAGCATTCTTCATTTATTGCATTATATTTAAAGGAGGAGTAGGGAGAACATACTGTTAGACTTAGATTTGCATCACCCCTCACTGTTAGCCTTGAAGGCTAGGGCTGATGGAAGTTGGAGTCCAACAGAAGTTTGTCACCATGTTTTAAAGTACTCAGTTTCTTTGATATTCACATTGCTTTTGAAGTTTTTTATTTGCAGACATTAATCTGAGGCTTGGATGCCTAAAATCTCTCTAAAGAGGAAAAGCATCATAGATGTGAATTTCAAAAAATAACTGTTCGCTTATATAGGGATTTAAGAAGAGCATCTGCGAGGCAGAAAAATTGAACTAGCATATTTAATCACATTTCATTAAGCTGTCCAACACAGAGGTTACCCTGAAAACATTCAAGGCAATAAAGTACATTACTACTTCTGACTAGTTTACCTTGTTTTTAGCACTTAACTTCATGTTTTTTTTTGGGTATAATCTGCCAATTATGACAAACGTCTTCGTTTATTTTAATGGATTTTCAGAGCGCCTGGCGAATGGCTTCTCTTCAGGCCAGCTGATCGTATAGCTGCTCACTGTTTTGTATCTAATGCCTGAAATTCTGTTTGTAGAGCTACACTGGGGGAAGTTGATGATGTCATTAGCTGTGGTGATTTTTCAGAAATAATTTTTTTTTATCCCACTGCCTGAAAGTTCCATCGGATCACTTCTGTTGTGGGAAAGCTATTAGGAACTGCGAGAAGGGGAGGCACTTTTAGTTTCTCAAAATCAACACTGTCAGTAAAATCCTTCCATCTGCAGCATGCAGCTTAAGTTATGGAACAGAATTTAAATATTAGACTCTTTCCTCTTGTAGCATATCAATATCCAGATTCCTAATATTGTCAGCCAGTGTGTATGAAGAATTAATATATTTTTCATATATTAAAATATGTTTTATCAAGCACTTAATTTGCTTCACAGAGCAGTACATTTTATGTTCTGTCTCTCTTTTCCCTGTTCAAGAGTTTGTGGGCAGTCGGTGGCCCGCAATGAATTGGGCTCCACCTTCTGCATCAGTAAAAAGACTTCTAGATCCATCCTGTCCCAAGTGTTATGTTGTTATACCTGCAGGTCTCAGAATCAAAATATCGATGATTAAAGATAAGCCCTAACTTGTGTAGAATAGACTTCAAATCCCAACTACAGAAACCTGTGTGTAGAGACTTGTTTGTGTCTTGACATTTACTTCACCTGTCAGATGGAGGCACCTATATCCCTCTGTCAGTAGGCGCATGGTACAGCAAGATTCTGAGCCAAAATCTGTATTGAAAATCTCACTTATCCTCTTTGGCTATACAACTAAATGGAGACATTTTCCACGAATACTTAGAATGAATTGAAGATTTTGAATTTCAGAATAAGCATAGTTGGCCTGACCATTAAAAAAAAAGTTTACAGGGATATCTCATCCTAATTGCACCATGAGATCAAAATGGCATCTACTACTCTCTGAAGTGTTACATTATTTAAAGTCTGTGCTTTACTTTTATTTATGGTGTATTTAGTTTGGTTTCAAAGGAATATTGATTGTTTTCCATCATGTTTTTTCTGTGTGGTCTGTCCACGTTCCGTCAGTCATGCCTACACGTTCAGTTATCCCTCTTTCCCAGACATGTACCTTGTTAATGTCTTGGTTGCCAGATGATTCTTGTATAAGTCTGTTGAAAACATGACATGCAGTAAAGCCACTGGAGTTGTCACCAAGCCTGAGGGAAATTGTGGGAGGTGTAGTTTAGGTACTGCTGCTCTGTAAATGATGAACTGTCCTAAAAATATTATTTAAAAAGTACAACTTACTCTCCCATATTTAGATCTTTAATTTCTAATCAGTCTCACTGATACATCCGAATAGAATAATGTCGAAATGTACACTAATAATCACTGAAGCCCTTAAAACCTTTTATTTACAATGCTTTTTTAATTTGAAACATTTTTACCAGTTTGGTTTATATTATGCCTCCACTTGTTATTCATGCTACCTTCATAATTAAAACACTGCCTTACAAAGTTGATAATTTAACACCTCCCTGTGGGGGGGGGGAAAGCACTTTTAAAATTAATCATGTTACATATAAAGGTAACTTAACTGAATATATTTTTAAAACATGGAGAATAGTTACTTGTTTTCTTGGCTGTTTATGTTCGTTTCTGCCTACTTTGATTGGTTGATTTCAGTTAAGACTTGCACACACGAGTCCCAAGCGAGGGGGGTTGCTGGGTAAGTACTCAAAGATTGTCATCTGCATATGGTAGTCTGTTGAAAAGTAGGTATCCCCCATCCTGCTTTAGTGTTGGGGAGAATTGCACACATATGTTCCTGCTACCTGTGAGGAGCTGATTGTGACATTGAAATAAACATGGGAGCTGTCTTGTAGCCATAAGTGTTGATGTGAACATAAGGCCGAGCTTTGGTTGGGGGTGTTGGTGTTTTCTGTGCCAGTGGGTAACAGCCTTCAGGACAGATGAAACATTATCTCTAAGCAGTGGCTAGAAGTAGGCCAGACAAGCAACACTAGAGTAGACCAGATCTGACTTAGCATGATTGCAACAAGCAATTAACCTGCAATAAATCCAGCAGTGAATTCTGTAAAAATGTAATGTGTACATACAACTTTGATAATCTTCACTCAATCACTTTTTTTCTTTTTCAACATGCAATAGAACTGACTACTGTGTCGATCTTTTATTGATTCTGCCAGTGTGGCGGATTTACGGAACACTACTGTTACACAGAATCCTCTGGCAGGATGACAGCATCTGTTTAAACAAGAGAAAAAGTGAAATGTTAATTACAGTATTTGCTTTATCTTTATTGCTCCTGAAAATTAAATGGAAAACCATGAAAAGTGCATCTTCCTGTTGAACTGAGTTGGGCAAAACTTTACTTGCTGCAATTTATGTAAATACAATTTGGGTTGTCATGCACCTTGCCTGCAATTTGGAATGGGTTATTCAGCACAGAGCAGTCTTGACTTGCAGTGTATTTGCTGATCTTTTGTTCAGAGACTAGAATGCAAATTTTGGTTAAGTTAAAATCTCCCCATAATTACAACCTAGATATACTTTAAATTTGGTAATTATAAATTAATGAATAAAATATATGATACTGCAGACATTTTTCATTAGATTTCCAGTATATATATTTTGCTTCCCAAAATTCATTCACAGTTTTAGAAAGGGTGGTCACATCATTAACTGTAACATTCAGGTGGCTTGTGGTTTTGACTTTTTTATTTTGTAGTGTTATAATCATCCAAACAGTCCAGGTGCCTGGTGTGATCTTTAATCTTGTTCACTGTACTCTGTAATTTAATGTTGCAAATAAAACAATGTTCCTGATTATGTAGTGTTTTAATTCTTATGTTAATTTGATAATGTACTGTAATATTGCCTCTCAAAATTAAGTATGTGGTTTGGGGTTAACTGTAAAATAAAGCAATATTTAAATTTATGTAAAAGTAATGATTCTAACACAGAAATTGATTTTTAGTATGATTTTTATAGCATGGAAAAGAGTAAACTATATATATATATATATACACACACACACAGACACACACACCAGTCTCCAGTTTTCCAGTCTATATATATACTGTATATATATACACACACAGAGACACACACACCAGTCTCCAGTTTCCCAGTCTACTCTCTGCTGCTAGCGACTATTGCTATTCTGTTTTGCCTTACTTATGTTGCCATACCCTTGTTAATAATTTACATACACTGCACAATCCATCTGGAATTTCTTTGGTCCAAACCTTATTTAGAATGAACAGGGGGTTGCATGACAGCATCATACTGATCTGGTTGTGCAATCTGTATGCGTGTGAATCTCCAGCTTACTTGAATGAGGCTTGTACTGGATGGTAATACCTGGCAGGCGGTGCCCACTGTGGTTTTTGCCTTACCCATGTTGCATGAGAATGTTGGAGGATAATAATAATAATGAAAATAAAAAGGCTTTAGTGAAATGGATTTATTTTTATAATATTTAATAACAGTCAATACCCATCTATATTAACTATTCAAAATCATATTACCTTTTTAGAGGAGTCTGTACAGGTTTGTGGATTAAAATGTTAAAACTATAAAAGTGAATAAAGGATGTTTTGGAGAAGACATGTGGTTTGTCCCCTTGCTTGCTCATCTGAATTGTTTTTCAGTAAACCACATTCAACAAATACGACTGTCCTCTGGAGACTTTCTGTAAAATTCCAGCTGATAGAGATACCTTTAGCCAAACTGAAAGGCTGCCCATTACCGAGTGATTCTGTTGTTTAGTCATTAAGTTAGAGCCAAACTGAAAGGCTGCCCATTACCGAGAGAGTGATTCTGTTGTTCAGTCGTTAACTCATGTCCGAATCTTCGTGACCCCATGGAACCAGAGCATACCAAGCCCTTCTGTCTTCAACTGCCTCTTAGAGTTGGGTCAAATTCATGTTGGTCGCTTCAGTGACACTGTCCATCCATCTCGTCCTCTGTTGTCCCCTTCTCCTCTTGCCTTCACACTTCCCCAACATCAGGGTCTTTTCCAGGGAGTGAGCACTCAGGATTGATTTCCTTCAGAATGGATAGGTTTGTTCTTGCAGTCCGGGGGGACTCGCAAGAGTCTCCTCCAGCACCACAATTCAAAAGCATCAATTCTTCAACAGTCAGCCTTCTTTATTTATAGTCCAGCTCTCACTTCCATACATCACTACAGGAAAAACCATAGCTTTGACTATGTGGACTTTTGTTGGCAAGGTGATGTCTCTGCTTTTTAAGATGTTGTCTAGGTTTGTCATCGCTTTCCTCCAAAGAAGTAGGCGTCTTTTAATTCCGTGGCTGCTGTCACCATCTGCAGTGACCATGGAGCCCAAGAAAGTAAAATCTGTCACTGCCTCCATATCTCCAAGGAGCCTCGTGGTGCAGTGGTTAAAAACGCTGTACTGCAGCTAAAACTGTGCTCACGACCTGGGGTTCAAATCCCAGGTAGCCGGCTCAAGGTTGACTCAGCCTTCCATCCTTCCGAGGTTGGTAAAATGAATGCCCCGCTTGCTGGGGGGGCAATGTGTAGCCTGTATAATTAAAATTGTAAACCGCCCGGAGAGTGCTTGTAGCACTATGGGG